CACAAGTAAACATGATTGAATTGAAATACAAAACTACAAAAAAAAAATAAAAATATAAAACAAAATAATAAAAGAAATGACAATTAAACCAAAACAATAATAATCATAACCAAAATATCATGAAAAAATACAAAAAAAAAACATAAGTAAAATACATAAAATGTGTAGTATAAAAATAGTCATAAAAAACAAACCTCCAAGCAAAATAATAACAACAAACAAAGCATAACAAAAAAAAAAAAAACAAGAAATAATAACAATAGAAAAATATAAACAACGAGGCAATAATAGAGCTTTTAACAACAATAACAACAACAATAAGCAAATAAAAATAACAACTGAAATTGCCATGCAAAAATAATAATTATTATCGAACACAATACAATCCGACATGTTAGGTAAGGTATTAAAGTATGTACATAAGTATATAACATTCATCATCATCATCATCATCAACATCATTATCATCAATATCGTAATAACTTTTAGTCATTTTAGTTTATAGTTTAGTATGCATGGTGTATGTGTGTGTATTTATTAAAATATTATATAGTTGTCGTTGTCATCGTCGAAATCGTCAGACATCACCACCGCGACCGCCCGACCAAAATACTTTTCTCTTTCTTTTTTATTTTTATTTTTTATTTTCATTTTAACTTTTCTCTTTTATTTCTTTCCTAGTTTTTAGTTTATTATTATACTTTTTTTCTTCTGTTTTTTCTTTTTTATTACCTTGATAGATAACAAAACTGAATATGGATTTTACGGTTACGTCTGTATGTATGTATGTACATATTCATCTATATACGTACTAAAATAAATCTATATACAATAAAAGTGTATTTAAAGATATAATTTAATATTTTTGCGTCCTCTTTCTGGCGCTTTCTGCATAACATTTAAAACATTAAAAAAAAAAAAACAAAAATAAAATCAGAAAAATATACAAAAGAAAAAATTACAAACCACCTACGCTCTTTTCATTTATATGAAGGTCGATTTCATTTGTATGATGTGCACAGTAAAAAAATCTTAACTAAAATGCATATTGGAATTAACATTGTTAATTTTTTTTATTAAAAAAAAGGACTTGAAATCAATTAAAAAATTGAAAATGGTAGGTAGAAATTAAAAGTAATTTCGAAGTAACTAAGTAAAATCGCATTAGAAAGTAAAATTATTTTCCCTCTTCTATTATACATAAAAATTTTTAAATTTTCTAAAAAAATAAATTAATACTTTGCAACATTGCAGCTTTGGTGAACGTTACAGATTAAATTCACACAATTTTAATGCTGAATACCAAAAATGAACGGACACGACTTTCAAATACAAAAAAAATTTTGTATGATGACTAAAGATTTGTTAAATTATTGAAATTATTAAAGAAAATCAAATTTACGATATGAATTGAATATATCAGATAAACCAAAAATATTCACTCTTCTTACAAAAATTTGGAATATATTGCACTTCTTTTCTACAAAATATTAAAAAATAATTTATTTTGTGATATTCAAAACAATTTTTAACTGTGTATATTTTCACAATTTCGAAAGAAGAAGATATCTCTTTTTATATTTTCACTATATTTGCACAAATATTTGCAAAATCTTGATTCATACACATTGTAAATCTGTATAATGTATATGTGTAATGTAAATATAATCCACAATTTTTTTGTATAAATCCACAATTTCATGCAGTTTGTTGTAGAAACAAACAAAATATGAGAGATTTTTATTTATTTATTTATTTTCAAATGCAAATATAATAAGGAAAAAAGTAAAAGAGAGAAAAAAAAGTTTTTGTAAAATTTAAGTGGTAACTTAATATTAAATTGTCCCTAAAAGTATGCAAAAATTTTATTATGAAATTTTTTAACAAATTAAAAAGTGTTAATTTAAGAATGCATTCTTTTGATGCTTTTAATTGAGTTCTTTAATTAATTGGGATAATGTGTACACATTTGTAAATAGAAAATTTTTTTTTTTGTTAAAAAAGAAATCAAGGAGAGTAAGATTTTTTACAAATTTTTTAATTAATTTAATTAACCACTTCTAAAAATATTTAACTTTTTTCAAAAAATAAAATAATAATCAATTAATAATGTTTATAACAATTCTTGACAAAAATTAAAACATTATTAAAATTTTCAATGACGGCTCTCCAATTAAGCAAAAATAAAGGCCGATCCCTAAAAATGACAGACAGAAATTTCCGGCAACAATATAATAATTTTTTTAATTTTTCCATTTTTGGGAATTTTTTTTTTAAAGTTGTGTTGCGTGCATACAATTTTACAGCAAAATAAGAAAGAGGAGAAAAACTAAAAAAAAGAAAATTTTTTGAAAAAAAAAATAGCACTCCTTAGTCCTTAATTTAAAAACTAAATGAAGAGAAAGAAATTCACAAACATATTTACATATAATAGCCTACATATACTCATAGTAACAACACATTACTACGAATATGTATGTTACATATATATTCATAGTATTTAACACATGAACTATAAAAATTTAAAGAAAGTAAAATAGCGTAACTTTGAAGCACAATGAAAAGAGTACATAAAAAGAAAGAAAAAAAAATTAGAACGGATACAACAAAAATGAAATAAAATTATAATTAGAAGTCACGCCATTTTGAAGATTTTAAATAAAATCATATGTCTAAACGCATAGACATTTGACATACTTAATTATCTATAAGCAAAAAAAACCTGCATATGAGGCGTTCAGCACATTAGTGGCCTACTTGCAAAAATTACATTTCGAGTAAATTGCGATTAAAATAATTAAATATTTAATTATTAAGAAAATTCTTAAAATGCAAAAACGAACTAATGTCAAAATAGAGTGAAAGGAGAGTAAAGTAAGTATTTTTAAAATACAGAACAATTTTTTAGGCGATTACAGCTCTATTGAACATAATAACTCATTTTTGCAAAAATGTTGAAGAGGTTGCTAATGTGCTGAACGCCTCATATGAGTTATAAATGTTTTATCAATCTGAATGAAAAATTACAAGTAACTTTAGAAATATTACCAGACAAAAAAAAAACATGAAATATTACTTTAAACGTAAATTACTTAATCGTAAATTAAAATTTCGACGATAGTCTCGCTTTAGTTAATTAAAATAAATTTTAGAGGGTCAGAACTTTGTAAAATTTCTAATTGTTTTTTCTTTGAAATAAAAAAAAAACCATTTTAATATTCAAAATATTTAAGAATTTCGTTCCTTAATAAATCAACAACTTTTTTTAATTGAAACAATTACATTTATTTTCATTTTAACAACTACAAACAGAAAATAGAGGTGAAGAGATTTATACACTCATACACACATGTATATATCGCCTAGTCTTCAGCCTATATTCTACTTTTAAATATTTGTTGTTTCCAACCTCTTTTATTAATTTGAATTAAATCTAAATTTTTGTTTCTTATATTTTTTACTCCTTTACTTAGCATACCAAAAGGATTTAATTTTTATCGTATTCTATGTATGCTTTTTTACATACATAAAAAAGAAGAGAACATACCAATTAATAGATGCAATTGCATATAAAATCTGACAGAGATTTTGTTGTTAATTGATTTTAAAAGGTTACTAATACCCCATTTTTAATTCTGATGTCATTGTTTCAATTACAAAAATCTATTTTCCAAAAATCCTTGGTTTATTTTTATGTTTTATTTTATTTTTCTGTTTTTATTGTTGATTTATATATTTGCTTCAAATTGTAATACAAAATAGAACAATTTTCTTTTTTTTTTAAAGAGAAACGAAAATGTAAGTGGCTCCCACCCCCCAACAATTCTCTCAATTGCAACAATTCTCAATCGACAAAGCAACTAAAGTTTTTTTCTTTTACATTGTATTTTTTTTTCTTTTTTTTCTTAATGCTCATATAACACATTATACAAATGTGTTGCCGGCAACATATTATTTATTACATAAAATTAAACCATATGAAATTGCTTAAAAAATTAATTAAAAAGAATTTTTTTTTAAGCTTGACTTGGAAATCTTCGTGAAATATTTTTAAAAAACAGTTTTCTACTTTTATTAAAATTAAGGTTATTTTGTAAAATACATGCTGTTGTCCAAATAGGCGCATAATTTTGTAAATGTTTGAAAGACATAAAAACAAAATTGTCCTGCTCCTAAACACATTTATTTAAAAAATAAGACTATAGTACGAAAATTTATAAAAGAAATGCTCAATTGTAAGATCTTTTTGCAATTACATTTACCTATAGTGCAGGTCTATATTAAGTGTTTAATCCATGACCCTCATTTGCTTTACTGAATCAAAATAATTGTTTATACTAGCTTTTGAATAAGTGAAATTTTTTGCGAATATTTCTTATTCGCAAAAACTTCCTTGTATTATTTATAATTACTTTAACACTAGAACTACCGACCGGTCAAAATGACCGGTTGTATGACTATTTCACAAGATTTTCTCCTTAAATTTCATTTAATATTTTATGAGAATAGTATGACTTTTTCTAAAATTATGTATTTAATAATATATTAAATTATTTTGATTTTCTATTTCTAATTTATTGATATACGTATGTACTATACCTATATATACCAACCGGTCAAAATGACCGGTCATTATTTTTAACGTTTTCGATGTGAAAAAATTACAAAAACTTCCAGTAAACTACTGCAATCCGCCACTTAGGCGACGCTGAATCATAATATCACATCATCACTCTTCAAAATTCTAAGAATTTTGCAATATTATGTGACAATTTTTTATTTTATATTGATAACGTTGTATACAGCTGAAATACACAAAATACCCAGTTACTGTTTATAGGCCGTTCAAATAAGTGCAGTTGTAATACGTATAATATTAGAATAACTTTGTGAACAATTTTGTTGAATATATTTGATTCCAGTTAAAATTATTGTTGCTGACACTGTAAGTAAACTGTATTTAGAATATTTTTATCCAGCTTTAAAACTTTACCCTAAAAATGCCGAGACGTTCGAAAATACCTAGACTCTTAGAGGACATAACCAATATAAGAGAAGACCTTTCAGATACCGAAGATGATTTTGATCCTGCAGAAAATTCAGGGGATCAATCAGAAACAAAAGATGTGTGTGTTTCCTCAGACAGCAATAGTGAAGAAGAGAACATGCTAAATGTACGTAGGAGGAGAAGAATTTTGAGATTGTCGTCATCTTCGGATGAAAGTGACTGTCAACAAACTGAAATTGCAAATGATGGAACTGTTTGGACTAAAATAAAAGCTGGATCCAATCCAGGAAGAAGATCAATAAATACTATATTCAAAGGAGTAATTGGACCTACAGGATATGCAAAACGTAACATAGTGAAGGGCACTGTAAGTAGTGCATTTTTATTGATAATCAATCGCCAAATTATAGATCATATTAGAATATGCACAAAAGCAGAAGCTTATCGAGTTCTTGGTGAAAAATGGGATCTATCTCAAGAAAAGTTTTACGCTTTTCTTGCAATTTTATATGCTCGTGGTGCTTACGAAACTAAAAATATAAAATTATCGTACTTGTGGTCTGAAAAATGGGGACCATCGTTTTTTAGAAACACAATGAGTAGAAAAGAGTTTACAGATATTTTAAGATTTATCCGATTTGATAAAAAAAATGAACGGAGTGTAAGATTGCAAACAGATAAATTTGTTTTAATCTCACACGTTTGGAATTCCTTCATTGAAAATAGCCAGAATTGTTATGTACCGGGACCAAACATTACAATCGACGAACAATTATTCCCAACCAAAGCAAGATGCCGATTCACTCAATACATGCCAAATAAACCAAATAAGTTCGGAATAAAATTTTGGTTGGCATCTGATCTCCAAACTAAATATATTATAAATGGATTCCCCTATCTAGGAAAGGACGAAACAAGACAGTCATCAATTCCTTTGAGTGAGTTTGTTGTACTGAAATTAATTGAACAATATGCCGGTGCTGGAAGAAATGTTACCACTGATAATTTTTTTACCAGCAAATCACTGGCACTAAAATTATTGGAAAAACGTACTACATTGGTTGGAACTATTCGTGGTAATAAAAGAGAATTGCCGGAACTGGCTAAACAAAAAAAGGATAATTTACCTAGATTTTCATCTCAAATTTATAAAACAGATAACTGTACTTTGACAATATATAAAAGCAAGGCAACCAAAAAAGTACTTCTTCTAAGTACCAAACATACTTCTGTCTCAATTGAAAAAAGTAAAAAACAACTGCCTGAAACTATCGCATTTTATAATAAAACAAAATGCGGAGTAGATATGACGGATCAAATGGCCAGAAAGTATAGTGTAAAATCAGGATCTCGAAGATGGCCTCTTCAAGTGTTTTTTAACATTCTCGATTTAGCGGCAATAAATGCATGGGTTTTATACAAGGAGACAACTGGCGAAAATATATCAAGAAAAGATTTTCTGTTTCAATTAGCGGAAGAACTTTCCACAGAGTGTAAAGATCCATCTGAACTGCAAAACTTGAATGACCTCTTCACGACCCCGGAGATCTGCAATATACGAAAAACGTGCCAAATAGGTTTTTGTAATGAAAATAAAACTATTAATATATGTGCTGGTTGTAAAAAACATGTTTGTGGGAAATGCACACTAAAAAAACTAATTATATGTAAAAAATGTGATGATACCAATAATAAATAATATGAAACAAATAATTTTACTCATTTTTCTCTAAATAGTAAATATTTTATGAACCTGCAATGAAATATATTTTATGTTCTTTCAAACTTTTCTTTCAATTTTCATATTACATTAACTAAATATCAAACCGGTCATTTTGACCGGTTTGGTAGAAATAGGTATATTACAACTGTTGGTAGTTCTAGTGTTAATGAATTTCGTTGCCTTTATACTACATTCGAACTAGATTGAATACTTACTTTAACACTGTTCACATTTATAATTGAAATGAAAAGACTTGAACTCAAAATACTCTTTTATCCGGTAACATGAATAAATACATATATTATGTGTGTATTAAAGTATATATATACGAATGTAGATTTTCAATTTGCTACATTTATTATTCATCTTTACAATCCTCGTAGTCGTCGTCGTCGTACCGACTATCTGAAAATTTTAAAAGCATATAAATTTCTCTTTTTTTGCTTCTTTCCAACTTTCTTCTTACTATTGTCGAACTATAATTTTTTTTTATTTATATTTTCTGTTCAATTTTGTATATGCCCTTACTTTGCCAATATTAATAACAAATATTCCTATATAGAAAAAGAGTAAGTAGGTGTGAAGGTTTTTAAAGAGTGAGAAAAAATTAAATAGGTATATTGCATATAGATATAGATATTAATATTTATTACGTATGTATATAGCAAAAATACATTAAATCAGATATATGTTAATACATACATGAATACTATGAAAAAATTGAAAAAAAAAATGAAAATTCTAACTATACGATTGCTCTACGGAATAATGAATAAGGAGGGGAACAACGTACAAAAACAATCAAATATAAAAGAGAAAACAAAATACCATTTTAATCCCTTAAATATGAAAATATAATGCTAGATACAAATACTGTAATATAGAACGTGACTGATTTTGAGGTCATTTCCGGTATACCCCGTTCTTATTAAACAATCACTTTATAGACATTAAGTGTATGTATACAACATACGTGTATAACATGTATTAAGATAATATCAATGTGTTATTCATACATTCATCTATGTACATAACGTACATTCAGTATTATATACATATATTATACATTATCAACATACCAAATATAAAGAAAAAAAAATTTATGATCTAACTAATAAGGAAATAATAATATAATTGGAAAAACAGAATTATAGCTAAAAATATTTTATCCTTCAAAATTATTTTCGCTTTACTTCACATTGTACATACAACCTATGTTATAAATATATACACATGTAGTTTGATATAATATGTATGTATGTATTTTTAGGATATTGAAAATAAATTAGAAAACATTTTGTTCTACACGAACTGATTTAATTTTATCGACTAAAGATTCTAAGGAAAATATAAGCAACGTGGTCATTTGTTTTTCACCCATTTGCTAAAAACAACATCATAATGAAAATTATACGAAATTAAAATTTGATTTTAAATAATTAATTTAAGTTTAGTAGAGAGCATGAATGACATTATTCAAAAAGTAAATATTTTCTCTGAATAGAAACTAAACATTACTGACTGTAAATGTGCGCTTTGCCTTTAACTCTGAACATTGTGAAGCCCCTACAGGTATGCAAGCGTATCTTCAAAAATTATAATAGTTATTTAAATAATTCGATTGAAATAGAAGCAAATTGAACTTAATTGGGAAAAGATCGCCTCTAATTAAAAAATTGTTTAATAAGAACGTATTAAACAATTTTTATACGTATAATAAAATGAAATACGTGTAATGTAATTAAGAGAAGGGATTGAAAGCTCCGTGGTGTAATTTCATAACAGTTCGCGTTTTTCATTTTAATACTTTAGCCCCACGATAACTACTTTCAGTTCTGCTCCTTATGTATTCCTTATTCTATTTGATAACTAAGTGTTAGTCTAAGAAAAAGAGAGGCAAAGCGCATAGCCGCCTACACTACGTCAATAAGAAAACCCATCGGCAACCCTCAATTAAAAGAGGACAATCTTGGCGTCAATCACCCGACTCCGGGAAAAGTGAAAAATTTCCAACATCAGAAACATTCGTGCACAGAGACCATACTTGGTGTTTTACACTACCATAATTTTCTGTCATCTTCTTTAATCATCACGCATTTCCTTTTCTTTTAAGTAAATAAATTGCGAGAATCTCAGTATCAATTTATATTGAGAAAAATTAGAAGATCGTGAGGCTTCGGGGAGGTCGAAAGACACTGATAATGCAAACCACGGTAACATCTTGGGGTATGTGGGCGTTAATAATATTCAAATATCGCTCACTACAGAACAGTGGTTGAAACACAAGGATTTTGAACTAAATATTTTATATTTAAATATAATTTTAATGACGACGATACGAAAGTTGTGAGATGTTATATTGGGAAGAAGGGACTTTTTGTGCTATTTGGTTTACGAAAGTAAGGAGTAAGCTCTTATTTTAATTTCGTACTATGTGACTTAAACAAAGTCATAGAGGCGTAGAAGTATAATTTACTGGTGTCAAATTCAAGAAGTATGCTATATGCCAGAAGTATAAGAATGGTTAAGTAAATCAACAAAACGATTGAATACATCAGTATTATCATTGTGTCTATTCGTGGGGCTTTTGACGAACACTACATTAAAATACACAAATTTTACTAAAATATGCTTTCTCGCATAACATTATTGCGACTTTGATTTTCATAAAATTTTTTTAAATATCAAATAAATTCTAATACATTTTACAAATTTTACTTACCCATTAAATTTAAAAAAAAATTAATTTAAGTTAAATATTTGACTTAACAAATATTTTATCTAAAATAAATAGAAAGTTATACAAATATAAGTATACGTATAAAAATATCCTTGACTCTGCTTAAAATATCATCAGATTGAAAAATTAAGATTATTTCCCTTTCTAATACAATTCATATACTTTTAATCATAGCCACCTTCTAACACTCTTGCGAAAGTCACCTACTTCCTGATTCCATCAGTTCCGAAAACGAAATATGTATTTCTGTAATAAAATTGTTCAAAATATTCTCTTTATCCTTTTTCAGTCATTTAAATCTGATTTAGTTAATTTTCGTGTTTTTACCGACCGCATTGCATACAATAAGGGAGGTTATGTGATGGCAACAAATTTTTCATATCGTGTTTTCTGTGAAAACGTACTTCGGCATGATAGCGATGCGTAAATAAACTATTTTTAGGTAGATGTAGGTCTGTCGGTTTTCTATTTTATGTATAAGTTTCGTTTAACAACATAAGAAACCACCTAACTTTAGAAATCCAATGTCAGGAACTTTCCATTTCCATTTTTGCGAAAAATAAAAAGAAATAATCAACTAATTTTCTTGAAATTTAATATTTAAATCCAGAGTATTAAAACAGTGAACTTATAATTTTTTTGAGAACATCAGGATTCAAAAATGGAGCTAGAGGTCTATTCTACATTTCTTACCATATTGAAACATCTAAGGAAGCAATTGACGGAATTTCTTGAAATTTAATATTTGAGTTCTGGTTGTTACTAAAATTAACTGGCAGGCAAACTTTTCAGGGAATTCGGATGGGACAAAGCGAAACTCTACCAAGAGCCAAATTTACATTTTTCGAGGTATGTTAAGCAAAAGTTCTCTGCCATGGTCGGTTATGGACTGACCACATAAGATTTTTGTTTTCATACTTTTACATTACTTTCGTTTTAATTTTTTTTTTGTTTTTGCCAATTTCAAAGTTTAACTACAAAATACAAATCACATAAATTATTTTGTTAATTCTATTTCTCTCTTTCATTCCATGCTCATTTATTTCGTATAAAATGTATAATACGAGGGTCACTATTTATATTTCGGGTCCTGGAAATACTAGTGCTGCCAGGTGCAATCTGACACTTCCATTGGAAAGTTTGACATTTTTTAGGACAACTTCACTCAGAACGTTTTGTCATTCGAGCGCGAATTGCGCGATGATTTTCGTGCGATGATTTTTTACGATTTTCGGCGCGGATTATCGAGACAAGAGTGTCTCGATCAACTTGTTTCGACTTTTGGTGATGAAGCACCATCAAAAACCACTGTAAATCGCTGGTACCAAGAGTTTGGTTTCGGACGCCGTTCGCTCCAGGATGAATTTCGTGAAGGTCGGCCAATTTCGGTCGTTTTGCCGGAAACCATCGATGCTGTGCGCGAAATGGATAATGATGGACCGGCATGTGACATACTGTGAGATTGAGGCATCCTTGGGCATTAATTCCGCCAGCGTACATAAGATATTGCATGAACATCTTGCCGTGAAAAAGGTGTGTTGTCGATGGATCCCAAAAAATTTGACGATTGCACAAAAGAAGGCTCGTGTCGATTGGAGCAAAGAAATGTTGAAAAAATTCAATCGCGGTGCGTCAAAAGACGTTTATAAGATAGTCACAGGTGATGAATCATGGATCTATGCATATGAGCCCGAAACGAAACAGCAATCGACCGTATGGGTGTTCCAAGACGAGCCAAATCCAACAAAAGTTGTTCGTGGAAGAAGCACATCGAAGCAAATGATCGCGTTTTTTTTTGGTATAACCGGTCATGTGGCCACAGTACCTTTAGTGGAACGTAGGACGGTCAATTCTGAATGGTACACCACCATCTGTTTGCCGAAAGTTTTCGAAGAAATAAGGAAAACAAACAAGCGCCGGTGAATCATTCTTCATCATGACAATGCAAGCTCTCACAAATCAGCTGAAACAATGGACTATTTGAGCACTCAAAATGTCGAATTGATGGGTCATCCGCCGTACAGTCCTGATTTAGCACCCAATGACTTCTTCTTATTCCCTCACATCAAAAAAAAAATGCGTGGACAACGATTTTCAACACCTGAAGAAGCAGTCGATGCGTTCAAAAACCATGTTTTGGAGGTGTTTCAATCGGAGTGGAAAAAGTGCTACGAAAATTGGTTTCAGCGCATGCAAAAATGTATTGATCTTCATGGGGAATATTTTGAAAAACAAT